CATATACACATCTGGGCATGTGTATAACCAGAGAACATAACAGTCACATGGAGAATGTATATACCCAGGAAAACAGTTACAGAGTACCTATAGCCAGAGAAGCAATCGCATCCAGAGAGTGCATGTACCCAGGGAATCAGCCATACCCAGCACAACACACATACACCCAGATATATAACTACACACGAAGAGTATACACAGCCAAGGAAACAGTTATACACAGAGAGTGCAGACATTCAGAGGAACAGTCACATGGAGAACACGCATATACCCAGGGATATAGTCAAGGAACATGCACAGACCCAGGAAGACAGTCACCCACGGAGAGGGCTACATCCAGATGCACAGGGAAACACAGGCTTGCTTTCGCACAGAGAGGAAAGGAGTCTGGCCAAACAGTCTCACTGGGTACCCAGCTCTTCATCCAAATGCAGGAGGTGACAGGTCTCCAGAACAGTTAAAAAAAAAAGAAAGAAAAAGAAAAAAGAAAAAAAGGGGAGGGGGTGCCAGTTCTGTGATGCGCTGCTCGACTTTTCTTGAAAATAAGCATTTGAATGTTTTTTGTCCCAGCAGCTTCCAGGCAAGCACAAAAGGAGGAGCTCTTTCTCAGGCTGTAGGGTCCCTCTGCAGCCCACACCTTCATCACTCCTTAGATATCACCATCACAGGCTAAAGCAGCTTTCCTGGCTGGGCCCAGCTGGAGAACTGTCCTGTTTTGGAAACTGAGGCAGAGAAGCAGACAGACTTGATCTGGACAGACTGAGACTGCTTTATCAGAACAGTGAGCGGCCCCAGCCTTTCCGAGTTGCACCCCTGAAGCTGGGGTCACAGGTGGTTGTGAGCGGTCTTTGGCAAGAACAGCAGGCGCCCTTAACCACTGAGCCTCCATCTCTCCAGCCCCCAGACTTTTGTTTCTTAAACAGCATGGTTTTACTGAGCAAGAGAGATTGTGAAGGGGAGAGCAGAGCAAGCCCAAGGCAGGTACGCAGGTATATGAATGAGACAAGTGTTGACACATCACTCATCCTACACAGAAAATCCCCAGGGTGAGAGCTGGCTCACGTATTTCATTCAAGCCTGAGGCCAAGCAGGAGGAAAGCCCAGGATGCTCACATCCCCCTCCCTAGCGATGGATGCCAGATCAGACATTTGCAGAGGGCTGTTTGCCCCCTGTAGCTCCTGGTTATTCAGGGCCTCTGGCCTATCCAGAGGGCAGTGGGGAGGAGTCTGTCCAGCGTGGCTATGGGTCTCCACTGGAGACAGGCGGGCCTTCCAAAAGAAAATTTTCTCTCCTCTTCTCTGGCAGTCACAGGCTGGAGGAATGAAAGCGCCTCTTTCCAGTCTGGTAAATGACACGTGATTTATGAGTACATCAGCCCACGGTGCATAAGTCATATGTGAACAAAGGGGCCGGGTAAATATTTAAAGATTAGAGCTAGCTCGGGGGAGACACAAAAGGCCAGGACAAAGAGGGTCTCTCTGAATTCACTCTTCCTGAGCTGGGCTGGCCTGGTCAGTGTTGATGCACTCACTGAAGTCCCAGCCTTTATCCCCTGAAGGGCCCTTGGCTGCTGTGCCATTCAAAGTCCTCACACAGCCAAAGAGAGTTAAACAATTGCAGCCTCTCCAACCCCATCTGGAGACAATCGACGGAGTCATTTCAGGGCTTTTGCTGTGTCCCTGATAGTTAATTACACACAGCAATCGCTTCGTCCCACTTTGAAACACATCTGCAGAGGCGGACAGGCTTCTTCCTCCAGTTCCCACCAGCACCCACCGCGATCTGTGCCAGGCCCATCATTTAGCATTGAAAGTGCAGGAAGGGCGCTCACCACTCAGGACCCTGGGCAGCCAAGGGCTGGTGCCTGGGATGGGAGGTGGGGCCCTTGTCTGGGGGCTTCAAGCCCCGTTCCCACTTTGTTTCCAGAACTGTGTGTGCTTCTTGCCAAAGTCAAGAAATCGAATGGGAAAGACACAGAAGCACCTGCCATTTTCACCCTTAAATTCCTCCGTGTGAGAAAGGGTGGGAGTGAGGGTGGGCTGAGAGCAAACATTTTTTCCTTGAATGACCAAAAGGGGCCTGGGTTTTCCCCTTGCTCTTCCTGGGCCTGTACTCCTTTCCGGGTACCTTGGGGACCCTGAGTGCTAAAGATAGGAAGGGAGTTGGTGGCCTACATCCTGGTTTGCATAAGCAGCGTTTCTAAGTTAGTCCATGACCTTCCCAGCAGTCCAAAAGAGAGTACTCTGCCCAGCTTGCTCAGACAGGGTAAGGTGAGCAGCTGTCTCTCCTCACCTCTGGGAAAGCTTGTCTCTCTCCCTGGTGGGTTCGCCTGCTGGTGCAGGTAAGACGTCTCTCATGGACAGATGGAACACTAGTCCTCAGCTTGCATCTCTTTACCTGTCACCTTTTCCAATGACCTTGCCGGATGCACAGGTCTGGCTCTAACTTAGTGGGGGAAGAGGTTGCCTAGAGGACGAAGCTGTAATGGGAGCTACTGTAGTGGAAGGAAGGGGACTGTTTCAGAGCTGGGGTTCGGAGGGGGAGATGGAGGGGTCCCTCCTGGTCGTGAGCTTGCACAACCCTCAGCCACAGGAACAGGCATGGGGGGGGGGTGTTTTGTAGCGGTAAATGAAGGAAAAGCAGGGAAGTTCTCACAGGGAGAGAGACCCCTGCCCAAGGACAGGCCCACGGGAAAGGGCGGTGGGAGGCATGGTGCAGCTCAGCCACAGGCTTGTTAAACAGATCCTAGCAGAGTGCAACCGCTGAGAATCCGGTCCTCGCCCAGTGGCGGGCCTCACTTCCCCCAGTCAAAGCAGAACATTGCATATTAGTACATTTTGTGGTCAATTTTCCACTACCTAAGAAACACTTAGCCACCCACATGAACGGCCCCACCCAGTGCAGCCAGGATTCCTGGGTAGGCTTGTGAGGTGATGGCTCAGACAGTGGAAGGTACTGGGGTGCGGGCGGGAGCGAGAGAGGGGGACTTTATAGTGACTGTAATTCTGGAGAGGGGGCGGGACCAGTGCCCCGCGCCCCGCAGTGCTCCAGGAAAGCTGTGCGCAGAACCATTGGTTTGCTAATTCACTGGACTGAAAGGCTTAGGCAGCAGTTTATGGGGAAGTATTGTAATTACAAGACAAATTGCTCCCGCTTCTGACTTAGCTTGAGAGCGAGGAGAGTGGAGGGGACCCGTCGAGGTGAGGCGCGCGCCGGGCCTCCCTACAGATGTGCGGCAGCTGGAAGCCCGTGCGCCGCGGGGAGCCGGGGAGTTTGGCCCCAAGAAGGCGGGCGCGGGCGCCGCTTTGTGCAAACCGCACAATGCCTTTAACACTCGGCTGCTCCCTTTGTGCGGAACCTCCTGCCCGCCTGCCCCGCGGCGCCTTTGTACCGTGCCGCCACCTCCCCAAAGCGATAGCTAGGCGCACTGAGGCCGTCCGGGCCCGGCTGGCCCGGGAGCTTTAAAACTACCCGGCGTGTGGCAGCGCTCACCACTGGGCTTCAGCCCCGTCACCAGGCCAGAATACAAACCCACCCGGATCTGGTCCACCCACCCTACGGCGGGGGGACAGGAGAAGGTTCCCGAGTTCTGGTCGCCTTTGCCCAGGCCTGAAAGGCGGAGGGCGGGGCTCGATTCTCCACGCTGCTTGGCGCTTGGGAGCGCACCGACAAGGCCGGCCAATGCCCAGAACAGGGAGGAGGGAAGTGGAGGGTTCAGAAAGATGCCCGGTTTGGGGGCATCTTGACCCAGTAATATCCTCTTGAGGCCATACGGAAGCCCTTGTTTTCAATACTTGACCACAGAGAATGCTGTAGGACTTGCTCGACTTCCTATGGCCTCATAGGCATTGTCGCTTCAGTCTCCTGGCCCCCAAACGAAAACAAGAGAGTGAAAGGAAAGGAGTTCTCTAGGTTTGAACTCAAGAGTTTCCCTGGGGGTCTGCCTTGTCAGTCACAGCTGTGGTTCCAACTTTCCTGATCCAATGGGAGTGGTGTGAGGGGATTGCAGCCCTGTCCTACAGCAGGTGGTCCCAGGGCCTCCTGTGTCCTCACACACGGAAAATGGACAGGTGTACAGGGACATACAATGCAGTCTGGACTTTCCTCAGAGCATCAGTGGTCCCCACCCCGACTCCCCACTCATTGAACTTAAGAGGAGGTCCACAGGAGCCGAACACAGTCTCTCTCTCCCTTTCTCCCTCCTCTCTTTCTCTCTCTTCTTTGAGACAGGGTTTCTCTATGTAGTCCGAGCTGTTCTGGAATTCGCTCTATAGACCAAGCTGGCCTCGAACTCCGAGATCCACCTGCCTCTGCCTTCTGAGGGCTGGGATTAAAGGCACATGCTACCACACCCGGCTCAGTTGTTTTTCTCTTAAAGACTGGTTCTTCACCAGAGTCACAAGCTTGGAAGCCCAGGGCTGGGGGTGGGGTGGTCTGCCTCCTAGCTGGAAGTCTCTATATTGGGTTCTATCAGTCAGTACTCCAGTCTCTGGGTCCTTGGAAAGAGAAGGCCCGTTGTGGCCCTGCGGGCGGGCTGCATGCTTTAATGGGACACATGTTGCTGCATGGCCCCCACAGGCCCTGCTTGCGACTGGCTTTGAGCAGCCACAGGCAGAAAATTGCTACATTGTCCCGACATTAGGGCGACTAATTCAGCATCTCAGCGTGGCCAGAGCGTGAAAGGCATCCCTGGCTAGCACTCCTCGCCTCAGCGTCTTCATCAGGCCTCGGGACACCTAGGGCACCATCATCATCATTTAGGGTGGCACGCAGCACACAAAGCTCCCTGTGACATTGGAGGACCACCAGAGGAATGTTGGGAGATAAGAAGAAGCCAGGACTTGGCAAGTAGAGACAGAGGTGAGGTTCAGAACCTACAGTTTCTGGCTCAACAATGCCTGGAGAGGATGGGTTTGGGGGAAGTCTTCATACTGGAGCAGTGGTGAGTCAAGGAAGAAATTTTTTTTTTTTTTTTTTTTTTTTTTTTTTTTTTTTTTGGTTTTTCGAGACAGGGTTTCTCTGTGTAGCTTTGCGCCTTCCCTGGAACTCACTTGGTAGCCCAGGCTGGCCTCGAACTCACAAAGATCCGCCTGGCTCTGCCTCCCGAGTGCTGGGATTAAAGGCGTGCGCCACCACCGCCCGGCTGAAATTTTAAAAAAATAAAAAAGGAAAGGAATCCTTAGAGCTGCAGAAAGCATCTTGAAAGCCAGAGGCAGCCTGGGATATTGGAAGGGGCCTCATAGAGGGATATATAGGGGCAGCTCTCCTGCATGCCCTTTCCATCCCCTCCCCCTCTGGATTTTTCCAGTTCCTAGAGCCTCATTGACATGTAAACGAGGTACCCCTATAAAGGCAATGCAGCCTACTGTCTGTGCAGACATCACAAAATGGGCACTGAGCCCACATCCAGGGGCAGCCCCAGTGGTCCAGCCAGCCGCTTCCGAAAGGTTTGGGGTCCTGAAGGGTATGGGATGAGAACTCCTGGGGTGGGAACCCCTGGGCTGGAGGGAGTGGAGGCCTGGAAAGCTGGGGCCTTCCTCTAAAAACTACTGGCTGGCCTGCAGATCTCCAAGCCTCTGATGGAGAAGAAGCGCCGGGCACGCATCAACATGTCCCTGGAGCAGCTCAAGTCTCTTCTGGAGAGACACTACTCGCATCAGGTAAGACAGGAGAGGAGGGGAGCCAGAGGTCCAGCCCTTCCCCAGTCTGCCTGTTAAAAGTGTCTTACTACGGCTCGGCAGATACGGAAACGGAAGTTGGAAAAGGCTGACATCCTGGAGCTGAGTGTCAAGTACATGAAAAGCCTTCAGAATTCATTGCAAGGTATGAAGTAAGGACTTGAAGAGCTGCAATGCAATACTGGGAGGGATGTGTGGGAGCTAGCCATGGGGTCTTGGGGTAGGCACCTGGGAAGCTGAGGCAGGAGGATGGAGAGTTGGAGAGTAGTCTGAGCTACTGAGTAGAGAGGAAAGCTGAAGTGAACCGCGAGGTGAGAAGGGTCCATCACCTAGCTGGGGTGGATGTGGGGAAGAGCAGCTAAGGCCTGTCTGGACTGGCTGTGGCGTTGCAGCCTTAGTGTGAGCATAGGTCTGCCCCACCCGGGAGTCTTCTCCCTAGTCCTTATGCTTCTCCCCTCCCTTTATCCTCCACGTCTCTTCTCTTCTATCCCCTCCTCTCCTCCCTTCCCTTCTCCAGGACTCTGGCCAGTACCCAGTGGGGTCGACTACCCGTCTGGCTTCCAGGGCTGCTTGCCCGGCGTGAGCCAGCGGCTTCGGCGCGGAGAGGATGGCAGCGGCCTGCGCTGCCCCCTGGTGCTGGAGCGCAGGGCCGGCAGCACCACGGACAGCGCCAGCCCGCAGGCGGTCTCTGTTCTCAGCCCCTGCCTCCCGGCCAACTGGGCCCCTGCTTCCGCTGCAGGTGGCTCCCAGTCCCCGCTGTCCCCGCTCCCTCTCCCTAGAGGACTCCCTGAGTCCTCCACCGGCGTTCCAGCACCACAACCAGTGTCGAACTGCCAGACCGAGAGCCCGAGACCCGGGCTTGGGGTGTGGCGGCCCTGGTGAGGCCTAGGCAAGGATTCAGACTCAAGACACCTTCCCCCCAACCCCCCGCCCCATCACCCGCCGTCTAGTCTGGGGACACAGAAACTATTTGGGACGCACCCATGGTGACTGCAGGAGCTCTTTCAATCGGTGGCCTGGTGGGGCTGCGGGAAAATCCACGCAGCCACTTGCGGATGGGGTCTAGGTGAATTCACCCACTCCAGCCCCACCCACCAGCCAGACCAGCTCCCCTCCTCCCACCTCTAGTGGAGCTAGGAGGGGACGTGTGGACGGTGCCCCTTTCCCAGGGACCCGGGGCTGGCATTCCGCCCCCGCCCCCCTCTCCACGGCTGCGTCACGGTGGGAAGGTCGCGGTCGCCAGCGGCGCAGAGCGGACCCCTCGCAGCGAGGAGAATCGCTGCCCCGCCCTGGCCCATTCAACCGGCCTCGGGCGCTCTGTTCCCACGGGCACAAAGCGCGCAGGGCCCCGCCCCTCCAGCAAGAAGCTCCCATCCCATCTCACCCCCACCCAAGACCTTCTCACGACCATCAGCAGCCCACTCCCTCTGCACGGGGCCCACCCTGCGGTGGCGCTCTCCAAGGCCCTCCCTTCGCAGATGCTCACGGCTGCGGGGTCGTGGCGCGGAGCACCGCCTCCGCCCCTAAAGTGCATTGAGTGCTCCGCCGCCTCGCCTCGCCTCGCCACAATTGCTGCGTGGCACTGCCAGCGCGAACCTCGGGACTTCCGCTGAGATCTGCGCATTTTGTGTTCTCCAAAGACCGGTACCCGGGACCACACAGTGCCTTCTGAGCCCCAGACTCGGAGAACTCTGCTGCTGTCACCGTGCCATGCGCTGCGACTACGGAGGGGAGAGATCAGTTTTTCGCTCCCGGGCTCCTGTCGTGAGCCAGCCTGGGGTCCAGTCAGAAATCCCTGCACCTCCTAGTACCAACGTGCAATTCTGAATAAAGACTGGGTGTTAAGTACAGACTGAGACGTGAGTGCACCACAAACTACCTTAGTTTGGGGCGTCTCTTGCCCTGCCAATAAACACGTTCTGGTCCACTTAGGATTCTCCGCAACTTGGCTCTCCCACTAACCCACCCCACAGAGCGGGCTTTCTGAAGCAAGGACCAGTACAGAGCCCTGCCCTGGCCGTCTCAAGGCGGCCTCTGGTCAGCCCGCCTGGTGGGAGAAAAGCCAAGACTTTTCTCTCCTCTACCGCTAGGTGGCGACCTCTCAGCGAGGACCAGGAACAGTGCGTGAATTCCACTGGAATTTGAGTGAGGTTTCAGGGGCACACCCAGTCCTAGCTGTACCGAGTCAAGTTCACAGTGACGATCAAATCCTGCCCCAGCCACAGGTGCCAGGTTGCCGCCCGTGACAGGGGACCTTTTCTCTGACCAGTGGGCTTTGGGGCCCACCCACTGCTGCCTACTATTGTGGGCCCAGGTCTACCTCTCTGGCCAGTGGGACCGCAGCACCTGCTTGGAGAAACGGCAAGCCCAAGGGAATGATACACTGGCCTGGACTTCAGGCTCTAGACAGACAGAGATTTGGGGAGTAGCTGGTTAGCCCTGTGGAAACAGGTTTCCGTGAACCAGCCTCAGAAGGCTGTGTGCAAACCATGAGGAAATTTTTATTGGGTCCTGTACAGAAGAGAAATGTTTTTCAAAAATCTACAAACACATCCCTGACTCTGGGCTAGGCGGTGGTATACAGATAGTGCTCTTATCAGTAACTCACGGCCAAGGTCCTTACAGGCATCAGCAAACAAGGAGGCTGAACAGGGATGGGGAAGAGCCCTGGTGCCCAGGGTCAGCTGCTTGGGGCTTGCCCTTAAAGTTTTGTATAAAGTAGGAGTGACTTAGGGACACAAGGTCCCCACTACAAGTATTGCCGTTGAATACAAAATAGAGTGAAAACCCAAGGTGATAAATTGACAATTTGAGGCCGGTGAGGGAGACAGTGGCTAGCTGGTGGCCTCTGCCCCCACATGACATCAGTCCCTGAAGGCACAGCAGCAAATAACCAGAGGAAGCTTCTCCCATGTCCAAAGATGGACTGATTGCAGCCCCCTGCTCATCTGGGGTGTCTAATCTTTCACTTACCCCACAACCAGGGGTCCTCTGAGGCCTAGGACAGGGCAGTCACCCATCCCCATCCTTATCTGGAGTTGGAACTCTGTCTGGAGAGGGAGAGGAGATGGGCCTGGCCATCGGGCAGTGAGAACGGGGCACAGGCTGCTCTGTGCTGGCCTTTGAGACTATCTCCTGGTCCCAACACAGAGGCTCTGCTGTACGGTGGTGGTGCTACCCACCCCAGCTCACAGCCTGGGTATTTCCTGGGAAGACCTATGTCCCTGCCACAGCCCAGAGAGAGGTCTACCCGGGAGAGCAAAGCCCTTCTTTCCAGGGGAGGAGGGGTACAGGACACCCTTTGCGGGACCTTTGCCTGTGTGGGTGGGAGGCAGAGCTGGAGATGGGCACCAAGACAGGGAACCCCACTTCCATTTGCTTTAGCTCTGTGCACCAGGTACCCGCAGTCTTCACAGCAGGATCACAGAATGGCCGACTTAGTGGGAGACAGGCAATATGGTGTAGTCTCGAGCATGGGGACACTAATGGGGTCAAGGTGGCTGTTATACCCATGGTGTTGTGCTTTAGCTAAAGTGAGTCTCCAAGACGGCAAAGGTCATCAAGATGGGGAGGCCTCAGATCTGGGGGTCAACTCCTGAAGGCTGACCCTCACAAAGGGCCCTAAGACCAGGAGGGTTCTTCAAACAGCCCTGAGAGATGGATCATGGTCGGTCATTCACTCATCAGAGACAGGGAAACTGAGGCAGGTCACAAGGAAGCCTGCTCAGTAGAACTTGTTTGGGTTTTGAAGACCCCTGTGCTTACAGACGCTCTACATGCCACACCCTTGAGGTGAGGCAGAGGCAGTACGAGTGAAGTTGAACGCGGTCCAGTAGCTTCTGGCTTAAGCTTCTTAGAGAAGGGATTTGGTCCTTTCTCATGGTGGTCAGGTCTCAGGGTCTCCTATACACCCCAGCCTAGCCTCAGAGGGCTGGGGAAGGTGTACTAAATGTGCAGATGTCACTCACTACAAAGGCACAGCCTGTCCCTTCCTGGGAGATGCGGTGCCCAGCAGCAGGTCTGTGTCCTATGCAGCCATCAAAGGCGGCCATCGTCCCTCCAGGAGATATCAGAAGGAAGGCGCAGAGGGGCGCAGAGTCCACCATCCATTCACCCCTAGGGTGGGTGGTACTTGTCCGCGCACCTAACACATGCGATGGCATCTTTGGTGCTGTGCCTCTCTCATCTGCATGGCGTCCCTCGGGCGGACCCAGAGGGCCCTAGGACGCAGAGCCCAGGGAGTCCGAGTTCAGCGTGACGTAACCCGAGGACTCGGAAGGCGAGCTCAGAAAGCTGCTGGTGCTGCCGCCGCCCGCCGCGTGCAAGACTCCGGGCTCGCCCCACGATGCGCTCAGGCCAGTCTGCAGGGGCCCCGCGTGTGCGCGCGTGGCCCGGCGTCCGTGGCTGCGTTGCGTACGGCCGCCAGGAGGGGTCGGGACCTCACCAGGCTCCGTCCCGTCGGAGGCGGCGGGGAAAGGCCGCGCTGGGGCGGGCAGACGACGCAGGGCCTGCGGCTCGCGCTCAAAGGCGGTCAGCGCGAAGGCGTCCGGCAGCAGCGAGACCGAGGCGGAGCGGGCGCCAGGCCCCGGGCGGCGACGCGGGCTGCCGGGAGGCGAGTCGTGGGTGCGACTCAGGCCGCCGTCCAGGGACGAGGGCTGCAGAGACAGCAGGCTCTCGGCCGAGCGACGGCGCGGGCGAAATGGGGGCGCGTCCTCGGCGAAAGCCAGAAGGCTCCCGCGCCGCCGGTCGGACCCCGCGGGCAGCATTAGGTGCGCCAGGGCTGCCAGATCCTCGCCGGAGCTCCAGCGCGGTAGGAAAGTGGGCAGCGGGACGGCCGCCCATACGTCGGCGTCATCGTGGGAGAACCGCCGTGTGGGCGGGACCTGCGAGCACCCGGCCGGGCTGAAACGGGGCTGCCCTCCTGGAAACCCGCACTGATGCCTCCCCGCGCCCTGCAGAGCAGTGTGTGGGTCAGGGACTAGGGCCCCCTGATTCGGAGCTGTGAGATTTGGGGCAAGTGACAACCTCTCTGAACCTCGGTGTTGAATGAAGCTTGGGTCAGTTGGAGAGAAGTCTCATGGGAAGGTTCACAGTACAGACACCAATGGACCCCTCTTCCAGAGCACGGGGATAGGCCCACCCGCACGGACTGTGACCTCGAGGCAAGCCAGGGGCTGACAGCCATCCATTGCCACTGATCTGTACGTGCTTGCGTGCATGCATGCGTGCATGCCTGAAGCGAGTGATCAAGAGAGGGAGAGCGAAATCGAGGGGGCAGGGAGGGGAAGAGAGAGAATAGTCCACCACAGACTTACGAGGTCCCTCTGTTCTGCCTCAACCTACCTGCAGATACTGCATCCTATCCTCCTGCAGTGGCCGCAGAGGGTAGAGCTGGGGTAAGCCTCCCTCCAGGGCAGAGAGCTCATACTTGGCCATCCTGTCCAGGGCCGCGAAGTCACCTCCATAGCTGTAGTCAAGGGAGCGCTCCAATACCAGGTCGGGGGAGATGCTACCATCTAGGCTGGTCTCTGCAGGATAGGACAAAAGCACAATGAAAACGTGGGGGCATCAGGAAGGTTTTAGGAATCCCCATAAGGAAGGGACTAGTTTGCAGAAAGGGCAGGCAAGGGGTCCGAGTTCAAATCCCAGCTACAACACACTCAGTTGTGAGTCTGAAGGCTGACATGTTGAGCACTTCGCTCCTCTGAGATTTGGGGTGGGGACTCCACGGGACTAAGCACCCACACAGGCTGACAGCTCCTGACACACAGCCTCAGAACAGGGTCACCTAAGTGCCATGTGGTGGGGGTACACCAAATGACTATTTCGGCTGACACCCAGACCTCACCCAGGTGCCGCACTCCCCAGAGGCCACCCTGAGGCCATCCTTACCGTTGTCAGAGTCCTCATCATTGGCCATAAGGGCCATGCACTTCTCCCAGACTGCCTTGCGGTCTGCCCGGTAGCGGTCACAGGTCCAGAGGAACACAGGCAGCAGCAGGGCCTGGGCCACAGAGCACCACAGGACACAGAGCACCATCCAGGGCGCTGAAGCGTCAGCCCGCAGGCTACTGAAGCTCACCACCTGCGGGCACAGGGCTAGGCCTGACCTACAGGACCCTCCCCACAACATCCCTCCTAGCCACAGCTGCTACACCTGTACGGCAGAGCCCATAACCCACTCACTGCCCAGAGGAAAAGAAGGGGTAGAAGGTAGTTATAGAAAGCTCCAGGCGAAGGAAGGGCCAACCCAGTGAGTGACAGCAAGGCCATGTCCACCCTGAGTAGAGCTCCGCTGTGTATGTCACCCCTCAGTGTGTTGGGCAGCAGCCTCATGGGTGCCCAGGGGGTGATGTGACACAGGTTTCTGTGGACCACTTCCAAAGGAACAGGCCACTTGTAGGCTGCTTGAGGCCTACACTTCTCCGTCACTGCCCTATCTTCCTGGGCCAATGGCTCCTTAGCTCTGCCCCTACCCACAAGCTCAGACCCCAGAGGAGACTCAGCAGCCAAAGGGCTCTTCCCAGGTCCCCCATCAGCTTGGAAAGTGTTTAATGATACCACAACAGAGCAAAATTGGGCACGCTGTATCTGTTCTGTGACTGTGCGATCCTTAGAAAGCTGTTGAATTTCTCTGGGGCTCCATTTCCTCATTTGTGAAATGGGCTAAAAACACCCACACTACAGAAGGCGAGGTAAGGATTCCTTTTTTTAAAAAAAAATATAGTTTCATTTTTTAAGCATTTATTTACGTGTGTTTTGTCTGAACGTATGTACGTGCACCATGTGCATGCCTGTGGATGGTTGTAAATCACCATGTGGATACTAGGAACCAAACTCAGCTCCTCTGCAAGAACAGCCAGCGTTTTTAACTACTGAGCCATCTCTCCAGCCCGGAGGTAAGAACTGTTGATAATGTTTATGACAAGCAGTAGGCTCCATCAATGGCACCCACTTCCCAGCTCTGAGGTGGGAAGCGATGCTGGGGTGGGCCCCTCCAAGGCCCCACTCTGTCTTTACAGTACTTCATCATTCTCAGGGCCGTTTCTTAGCTCTTACCATTGGCATGAAGGACTAGGGGGGTATCAAGCCCCGCTGTAGATGTGGACCGTAGAGTGGGAGGGTGCTGGGCCTGCTGGGGGCAGGGTGGCAGAGCAAGCCGGGGGTACAGCCTGAGAGGACATGACCTCCTGGCTGTGTAGGCAGGCTGGCTCTGGTACAGGCTCTTGTCTCTCCAGACCGTCTGTGGCAGGAGCCCCAATCAGACAGGAGCTGTTTACTAAGTGTAGACTTCAGTCTTGAGCCAGCCTAGTCCAAGCTGGTCAGAGGACTTCAGGCAGTCCCACTGGACTGGGGTTAGCAAGGCCTTCATCCAGGGACCCTTTCATCTGACCTTCTCCAGTCCTTACAATGAAGTGCAACTTCGGAGAAGCCGTTCAGGGGCTGCCCTATGCCAATTCAATGTCGCCTACCTACCTGCCACATCCTGGGGCCTGAGCAGGGGAGGGCAGTGGCATTGCTTCTCATGGAAAGGGTCTTGGGAGAGGGGAGGATGTACCTCTTGCAGTGTGACCAAAGGATCCTAGTCAGCTGACAAGGGTTCAAGTCTCATCACATCTACCCTGACTTTGGGCAAGTCATGTACCTCTCTGAACTCTGCTTTCCAAATCTATAAAATGGGAGTCATAATTCACAGCTCGGAAGTCAGGTTTGAGGTTTCAGCCACCTGATGCCCAGTCCCTAGGCTGTCCTAGAAGCCACATCCATGACAGGCTCCCTACCCAACAACCTCACCCACCAGCACAGGGAAGCCCATGAGGCAGTCATAGATGACCACGATGGTGGCCACCAGGCCCGTAATCTGCAGCGAGGTTTTGGCAGGCTCCGAGCCGTCAATGGAGGAGCGACGCTTGCCCTGTGTATCCTCCACCACGATGGTGGGCACAGTGAAGGCACGGCGGTCAGCCCGGTGCCCCACCTGCGTGGCCAGTGTCTGGAAGAGGGCAATGGCTGTGCAGACCACGCCCATGGCCACGCTGCCACCCACCAGTAGCAGGAAGCAGACTCCGAAGCCAAGGCCGATCTCAGCCACAATGAAGCGGCAGCCGTGGGTGTAGAAACGCTCACTTGTGTCGTGCCAGCCAACGGCAGGAAGGGCCGACAGGATGAAGGACACCATCCAGATGCCCATAACTGTGTGCACCGCCTGCTTCTTGGCATTGCTCAGCCTGGCATGGGACAGGGCAGGATAGAGAATCCTGGTGTTACTCACCGGCCTCTGAGGGACCACAGAGGGTCCTGACCACCCTTCTCCACTGACACTGTAGTCTCGACCCAGCCAGCACAGCAGGGCCTTGCCCCTCAGCGGAAAGCCGTCCATGCACCTGTCCCTCTCCCTCTCTTCAGGCATTTCTGTACTGTGACGCTCATCTTCTACACCCACGCCCCTAGCGGCCCTGGACTGCACCAGCCCTGGGCCCTCTCACCCATCCTGGCATGGCACGACCATATACACAGACACACCGCACTGTCTCATGCTCACCGGTAGTTGACGGGCCAGCGGACCATCCACATGCGGTGGTAGGAGATGGAGGTGACAGAGAAACAGGTGGCCAGAGTGAGGGTGTAGAAGGTGGACACAAAGACCTTACAGAGGCCTTCGTTCCACTCGTAGTCGGGACGCTGCCTCCGGAGCTGCACGACAGCATACGTGGCAATGGGGACCGCCACGTTGAGCATGTGGGTGGCTGCCAGTGTGCAGAGCAGGAACTCCAGTGGCTTCCACTTCCTCTGCTTGGCACCCACACTGAGGATGCCCCAGGCATTGGCTAGCAACGACAGGCCTCCACACGCCAGCCAGCCTACCGCACTGCCAGGCAGCCGCCGCTCATCACCCATGGTGCAGACCGGAGCTGGCGAGTGGCTGTGGCATCCTCCTCCTCCTCCTCCTCCTCCTCCTCCTCCTCCTCCTCCTCCCTCCTCCTCCTCACAGTGCAGCAGCTCTCACATGTGGGGGCTTGGTGAGGGAGGCCAGGGACGACGAGCAGCTGGGGAGGGAGCAATGAGCACTCGGTGAGAGATCAGAGAACAGCAAGACTGGCGCTCTCGGATGGGAGACCTGTGTGGGCCTGGCTTACACCAGGCTGCTGTTGTCTCAGAAGAATCTATGACTGGGCAGGAGGCCCAAGGGGTGGTACACAGGGTAAGTGCACATTCCCTCATTTCCACTCACTTCTGACCATCTGAGTTTCCTTTTTTCCCTTTCTTTTTAATATTTTTTATGTACTTGTGTGTACCTGAATGTTAAGTATGTGCACCATGTGCATGCAGGGCCTCCAGAGCCCAGCAGATGGGATCAGATCCCCTGGAACTGGAGTTACAGGCAGCTGTAAGCCACTTAATGAGGGTGCTGGGAACTGAACCCAGGTCCTCTGGAAGAGCAACAAATGTTCTTAACAGTTGGGCCATCTCTCTAGCCCCGAATCTGAGGCCACCTGTTCACTTACAGTCTCAGGCCAGGCTGGGCCCATATGGACTGTCTCTCTTTGGATTTATTCATACCATATGAAATGTTTTACCACATGTGTTCCTAGGCCAGGAGAGGGTGTTGGTCCCCTGGAACTGGAGTTACAGATTGTTGTGTGTGGTGATATATTGTGTACTCTAATAAACTTGCCCGAGGATCAGAGGACAGAGCCAGCCACTAGATTAGACATTGAGGCCAGGCAGTGGTGGCACACACCCTTAATACTATCCCTCAGGAGGCAGAGATCTGTCTGGATCTCTGTGAGTTCAAGGCCACACTGGGAACAGAGCCAGGCAGTGGTGGCACACACGCCTTTAATCCCAGTACTGGGAAGCACTCACGCCTTCAATCCCAGGAAGTAACATGGCTGGGCGGAGAAAGGTAGATAAGGCCTGAGGAAACAGGATCTAAAGCAGTTCAGCTGAGACCCTTTCAGGTGAGGACTCAGAGACTTTCAGTCTGAGGATTTGTGGAGTTGGTGAGGTAATAGGTGGTGGCTGTGGCCTGCTTTGCTTCTCTGATCTTTCAGCTTTCACCCCGATATCTGGCTCTGGGTTTGTTTTTTTTTTTTTAAATAGTAGATAGAAACCACTGAATTTTTTTTAAGGATTTATTTTATTTATTATGTAAACAGTGTTCTTCCTGCAAGTTTGCCATATGCCAGAAGCGGGCATCAGATCTCATTACAGATGGTTGTGAGCCACCATGTGGTTGCTGGGAATTGAACTCAGGACCTCTGGAAGAGCTGACAGTGCTCTTAACCTCTGAGCCATCTCTCCAGCCCTTGTTTTTGTTTTTTTAATCAAAAGACCATCTAGATTCGAATAACAGTTGTGAGCCACCATGTGGGTGCTGGGAACTGAACCTGAGCCCTCTGCAAGAGCAGAAAGTGCTCTTAACCACTGAGCCATCTCTCCATCCTCAGTCTGGGTTTCTAAGGGACAGGGACTATGCAACCCTGGTGAGCCTGGGACTTGCCGTGTGGACCAGGTATGTCCCAGTTCTGTCCCACATCGCCACACAGACATCCCGGCACTTAGACCTCCGTTCATTCCAGCCCCCCCCCTCCATACCTCCCTTTGCCTTCTCTGATCCCCCAGGTGACCTGTGAGGTAGAGATGAGCTGGCCACCACTCTCACACCCACCCTGGAAGTGGGTCAACAGTCTCGCATAGTGGGCACAGCCAGACTGTGACCAGACTGCATCACTTGCGGTGGGGCCAGTGGCGGGCCCCCACCTGAACAGAGTTATGCTGCTTCTGTGGGGGAGCTAAGTGGATAGACAGCACATCTCTAAAGCCTAGGGCCCAGGATTCACACAGCGGATGCTGTGAAGGGACAGCAGCATGCTGGGAGCTAGGTCCCCCACACAGTGGGTACTATGAGGGGACAGCAGCATGCTGGGAGCTAGGTCCCATACCCAATGGGTGCTGAGAGAGGACAGCAGCATGCTGGGAGCTAGGTCCCACACACAGTGGGTACTATGAGGTTAGTTAGGACCATGTCCTGGGCCTGGATCTCACCTAGAGGGTTCTATGGACTAGTGTTGGCCTGGAGTCACCCTAGAGCCCAGACCTTAACTGCCAGTTGCCTTCAGTTGGGAGTGAGGGACACAGGATCCTAGGCAGGAGGTTAAACATGAAGGGGTACCATACCCTTCTAGAAAGCTGATTTTAGATCGGCAGTCCCTCCTACCCCTCCCTCTACTAGCCTGTCAGCTCTTCCAGCTCCCTGTGCTGAGACTGCTTCATGGAAGCAGGCAGCTTGGGGAGGGTCCCCATGCTGAGGAGGCTACCTGCAGTCCTATTAGCTACTCAGGACTACCATACATCCAGCCTCACACAGCACCTCCAGCTGGGGGCAGATGGGCAATTGCAGCCTTAACCAGGACTCCCAGCTCTCAGGCAGGGAAAACCAAGTTGTCCTGGCCAACTGAGCAGACACTCTCTGCTGGTCTTATCTATAATTTCTTTTAAAAAAAATGTTTTGAGACAAGGTCATTCTATGTAGCCTTGGCTGTTCTGGAGCTTGCTCTGCAGACCATGCTGGCCTTAGACTTCCAGAGATCTGCCTGCCTCTGCCTCCCCAGTGCTGGTATCAAAGCACCACACTCAGCTCTTGTCTATATAGTTTTCAGCCTGCTGTGGATTATTCTTTTCATTCGCTTTTGTGAGTCTGCCCCAGGCCTGCCCAGACTCTGACCCAGGGTTGGGTCTACTGTAGCCTGCTGCAGGAAGGGCAGTTTCTGCCCAAACATTTACTAGGTCCATGCTTGCAGGAACTAGTGTGGGTGGCAGGGTGGCGCTATCAGATTGTACCCTCCACCACCACAGCATCTGGGTTGAGCCAACCTCCTCAGCTGCAGACTGGAGGCTACAAGGTGAGAGAGAGAGAGAGAGAGAGAGAGAGAGAGAGAGAGAGAGAGAGAGAGAGAGAGCGCACTTTGTGGGCTAGACCCAGGAAGCTGGAGTCCAGCCCCAGCTCCCGGCTGGTTACTTGATACTTCTGCACCTCAGTTTTCTAATCCAAAGATCGGACATGACAGTGCCTTTCTTGAAAAGAGCTGGCAAAGTACTTAGAGTGGAGTCAGAGGCATGGTGAGCAGTCAGTTTCCTAGATTAAAGGATCGCATGGAGTATAGCCGAGCCTGGGGCCCTCACCCAGGCTTCAATTCAGTGGTCTACAGGACAGAAGGATACAGGTGGGGAAGGGAGGGAGGCACACTTCTCCAGCATCTTTAATGGGTAGTTAAATGCCATCCCCATTACAGAGAGGCATTTTGATGGAAGGAGAGAGAGGAGAGAGGAGAGAGAGAGAGAGAGAGAGAGAGAGAGAGAGAGAGAGAGAGAGAGAGAGAGAGAGAGAGAGAGAGAGAGAGAGATATCACCTGCCAACATCTTTATGTACCCGAGCCAGGATTCAAACTGCAGGCACCAAACACCAGAGTCGTGGTCTCAAGCCCTTCTAAAAAGTCCCCAACAAGTACTTTACAGCTCCTAGAAGCAAGGTCTGTCCGAGCTGCTCATCCCTGCAGGAGAGATCCTAACTTTGGCAACAAGGCCGCCTCCAAGCTGAGGGCAGCTGAGAGGAAAGGGCCAGGGCAGGCCATACTTGACCCCAGGAATCCTGAAGGCTGTATTCTGGGAGGGGAGGACTGTTCTGGAGTGTTGGGAGGCGGTGGGGACACGCTGTTGATGCCCACATATCCTAGAGAAGCAGTCACTGGGGGCCAGACCCCACTGGGCCCCATCGGGATTTGGCTATTCTAGCCAGCAAGTTCCTTCTGCAATGGATTCCAAGCATCTCCAACATTTCCAGGATGCTTCCCACCTCCCTATCAGGAACCCCACAACTCCCCCTCCCCAAGGCAGGGCACAAAGTAGGTGAGACAATCTAGAGACCCTCCCAGGCCTTGAAGCCTCCTCCCTCTGCAGGGTCTGCGGGCAGGGCCAGCTCTTGACGTCACGACCCAGGGCCAATGAGACCGCGCAGCCCCAGGGCTGTATTGCGCAACAAAGAGAACCCAGAACTTGAAAGGATTCCCCGGGTTCGGGCTGCGCCCACCCGTCTCTGAGAAGCCTACGCTTCGTGATTTCGCCTCCTAGCTGGCCTCTGGTCTGCCAAAAGGTCTCCAAAGGCCCAGCTGGACGACGGCCCAGAGCACAGAGCGCAGTGCACGCCCCTTGACACCCCACTTATAGGTCTCGGTCTCCCGGGGCTCAGTTGGTTTCTCTGCCCGCCCCTAAAAGGCGCAGCCCTGCCGGTCTGACCCTTGTAGGTCTTCCAGTTTCCAGTCCCGAGGGCGCGTCCAAGCGATGGCCTGGGGAGCCAGATTAGGGGTGGGACTGTGCCTCAACCCGCACCTCAGTTTGCGCTGGGCATGGGGGCCTGGGACCCACAAAGTAGCCACGCCTGCCCGCTGCCAGCCGCCAAGGACTGCGCTGCCAGCCCTGGAGGCGGGGAGCCGAGGAAGAGGCTGGCTCGGAGAAGTTACCCTGAAAGGTCCCCAAGTTGATGGTGGTGGGGCGTTCCAGCCCCAAAGGCTACCCACGGTCACTCCGACGGACCCCGCGTCCCACCAGGTGTCACAGCGCCTCCTGGTCCAATCCTCCCGCCCGGATTTCCCCTTCGGTGTCCCTGGGCCGGGGCGGCGTCGCTCACCCAGCATTCGGGCGCCCAAGGCTCCAGCTCGCTGCTCCCGCCTCCGGCTCCGGCTGCGGTTCCCACGCCCCGGCACTGAGCGCCCGCCGCCAGGGGCCGCGGGGGTGGCTGGCGGCGGAGCAGCCCGCGGGCCGGGGCATCCTGGCGGCGGCTGCCGATAGCCAAAGCGCTGCGCTGCGCTCGGCCCCGCCGCCCTCCCTCCCTGGGCACCGCCTCCGCCACGGCCGCGCTCGGCTCTCGCCGTTCGGCTGGCTGCGCTCAGGCGGCCGGGGGCGGGGGGCGGCCCAGGGCGCATGCCTCTGCCGGGGCCTCCGCGCCGCCCCCTGGCCGCGCCCCGCCTTCCCGGGCGCGGCGCGCTGGCCCCCCACTCCGGGCAGCCACGTAGCCCCAGCAGCCGCAGTGAAGCCCCTTGGAGCGCGCGACAGGACCCGCCCACGCTGGGGCCTCTTGGGTCCGGGTCACTCGCGCAGCCTCCTCTAAGCCGCCTGGAGTTGAGGGGCGGGGCTCGCAGGCCAGAGAAAGGGGGGCTTGGTCACGGAGAGGACACAGGACAGGGGATGTGGGGAGTCAGGGAGGAAGCCATGTCAGATGTTAGCATCCTTGACAAGAGGGACGGGATTCACGCGCCTGAGGATTAGCGGCTTCTAGGAATCAGAGTAGCAGGAGGCAGGGTTCTGCCAGCCAAAGGTTCCAACTTATTACCTGTGCAGAGTGACAACATGGACCCAGCCCTGTCCTGAGACTCTGACCAACCAAGTTGATGGGTAAAAGCCAGGATTTGAAGCCTGACTCCTGACTCTTCCTCCCCTCCTGGAACCCACCTTCTGTCAACATCTGTGGTGGGGCACAGGCTTGTCACCGCTACAGTCCCCTGCTCCTACGCAGAGGGAAATGTTCTGTTCTCCAGTCAGAATGCAGCTGACATCCTGGCGCCCCATCCAGGTGACACGATGGCACAAAGTCTTCTGGGCCACTCAGGGCTATGTGGAACAGGACCATCCTTTAGCCTCCCTGGGCCAGAGAGCTGTGTGCTCTCAGGAAGGTGGATACCTAGGACCGACATGAACTGCAATCCACCTTCACTCTGTAGCTTACCTTCTGTACCCTGGGGTGTCAGGTGGGCCTTAGGGTCAGTCCTCTGAGACAGAAGTCTTGATTTTTTAATAGAGGAACGGTTCGTATTAATATGCAGGGCCTGGGATGGCTCCACGTGTGCCCTCTGACACTCCCCAGGGTTTCTGGGAGTGGTCAGGGCTCCCATGCGGGCAACCCTGGTTATAAATAGATTGCCAGCAGAGGGCAGTTGTCATCAAGTGTGGCATTTTAATGCTGTGTCTACGAAGGATGTGCCCCAGGTCTGGGTCCTGCTAAGGATGGTGTGGCTGGGTCTGGGTTCACAGATCTTGGTAGTGTCCTTTCTGCTGGCCACACCCTGAGAGTGGCCTCATCACCACATCAAGGGTATCCTTGTGGCATACACTGGAGACCTCAAAGTTGTCTAGGGACCTGAGGGACAGGCAGAGCTGATATGGCTGTATGTGGGAGAGCTGGTCCCCTCCCCTACTTCCAGGCAGGAAGTAACACGTCTTCTGGGATCCAGGCCGAGACAGATTCCGAAGCTGGAGCTCTTGGCGGGTGTTTCTGCACATCTGGAGTCGGGTTCTTCCTCCAAGGGCCTCAGGGAGCTGCGTGATAGGCTGCAGCTGCTGGCAGGACAGTTTGCCTTCTCCATGTGGTGGGACAGATGTTTGGGCTTTAGGGATAAACCCAGGCGCCACCTCTGGCTGTTTGGTGGGCAGGGGGTGGAGTCCTGGCCCCTGGAGAGGCCTTGGAGGCTATTTGTACGGGCCCCCACCCCTAGGCAGCTGTACACAAGCACACATATATCCTGATGACACAGATATCTCCATAGCAAACATCCACTGCTACATACAGCAGCATGGATGCATGGGCACAGAACCTCACACCACATATGCATACAGTAAAACATGCGCGCGCGCGCACACACACACACACACACACACACACACCATGCACATCTACTCCATGGACACACTGCCTCCCAGATCTTCATTCCGCACAGGCCTCTCCAAGTAGCCCCTGCCTAAGCAGCTGGGAGTCTCCCAGCAGATGTGAAATCTGGGCCCTCTTTCCAGGAGCTCGAACCAGGCCGTGCAGATTCTCTCCACCCATCTCCTGCTTAGGCCCTTAAGCATGGAGAGGGCCAAGGAGGGAATGCACACAAGGCTGAGGCAGCATCCCATGGAAGCTATAGGGGCAGTGGGGTCCCACGATTCCCACTAGGATGCAAGGCCCCAAGTGTACCTCTCTGAGTTTCCAGAGCTGATGCTGGGAGGGGTGGGGCCTGGGAGGAAGGCAGTGGGCCCCCAAGAATGGAGGGCTGAGGCTGCACACAGGAGGCAGGCCCCCCACCCCAGACAAATGACTACTAGGCTTCATGAGTCCAGCCAGACAGCAGCTTTATTAGTGGTGCTGGTTTCTTCACAGACCATTCAGTGCTCTGGTGTCCGTGGTGGCCTTTGGGACAACACTGGGGAGCAGTTACTGGAGGGGTATAAATAAAGCTTTGGTGCACAGGTTTTGGGAATGGGGCACAGGTAACACTGCCACACAATACTTCACAACACCAGCTCTCAGTGGAAAATGGGGTTTTGGCCAAGGGGGTTACTTCTAAGTGACTGCACATGGGCTGTTGCCTCAACTGCTGACCCCGGGCAGCAGGACGACACCTAGGGCTGAGGCTCTGTGTGGCCCTGCCGCTTCGCCTTCATCTGCAGATAGCGGCCTTTGCCTTCTTCAAAGCGCTTCTTCTCATCCTCAGTCTCAGGCTGTGGCATACACAAAGAAGGGCGTGTTAGAGACACCAGAGAGCTCAGGGCTGCCTGCACTGTCCTTGGAGAGTGCCGAGGACCTCTGCCAAGGGGCTTCCAGGTGCCACGCACTAGTATCCCGACACACCTCCCACAGTCTGTGGAGTCCGAAGCCCAGTCTCTGGGGATGGACTGTGAGGTTAGAAGTTCTGTGTGGGGGCCAAGTGTCAGCAAAGAGGGATGTCGCCACTCCAGGGAACAACTGACCAGCCTTTGTCACAAAGGGAAGGCGGGGGCGCTGTGTGGGCTGTTGCCTTGAGATAAACCTTTGCTTTATACTAATGGGAGGGACCCTACCACCCTCACCCTGCATGGACTGTGAGATCCTCAGAAGTGGCACCTGGGGCTGAGCAACTTAAGCAGCTGGAGCCGAGTCGCAGCATCAGTGGGCAGGACCAACTGGCCAGAGGGATTTCGCTGCAGGCTGGATTTTCCTCAGGGATGGTCCTGATTTGTGTCTATTGGCTGCTGGGATTTCATTTTTAGGAGTGGCCTGGTTTCACTACGAACCCCTGGGCAGATGTCATGGCAGCAGCAATTGGGTGGTCACTTTTGAGTCTGATCTGTCCTGCCTAAAGTTCCATCTGGCACTGCCCTGGCCACGGAGCTGGGTTTAATGAGCTGTACTAATTCTGCTGGGATGCAATTTCATTGTGACATTATGAGGGTATCTAAAAGCCAAGGAAATGGGGCAGGTGCCCTTCATCCAGAATGACACCAAGTCCTGGTAGCTATTTTTAGGCCTACACACTTTACAGACCTTCGGTATATTGGCAAAGGAGAACCGCCAGCCAGAGGACTTAATGTCAAATCACACTAAGTATTTCCTTCCTCCAGCCTTCCCCAAAATTGCTCTCTAAATGTCACCAGGTGTAAACTGTCCAGGCTGTGCCAGCTGGGAGCCAATGGGACACGAGGTATTAAGACATGGGCATGTGGGGCTGGAGAAATGGCTCAGAGGTTAAGAGCACTGGCTGCTCTTCCAGAGGTCCTGAGTTCAAGTCCCAGCAACCACATGGAGGCTCACAACCATCTGTAATGAGATCTGGTGCCCTCTTCTAGCCTGCAGGCAGAGCACTGTATACATAATAAATAAAATATTTTTTAAAAAAAGACACGGGCATGCTTTCCACGGGGGTTCTGGTTCCTGTGTGCACTGTTCAGTGCATACACAGAACTTAGCCCTGGCTGTCCTGGAACTTGCTCTGTAGAGTAGGCTGGCCTCAAACTCACAGAGATCCACCTGCCTCTGTCTCCTGAGTGCTGGGATTAAAGGTGTGCGCCACCACCGCCCAAGCATACAAAAGTTGAATTACGGTTACCGTACATGGGAGAATGCTCCTCCTAGAGGACACAGGGTGCCAAATTAAAAAGCACAGAGTAATGCCCGTGCTACGCACTGCTTTCCTGACAGCCAGGGCCCATGGCGTAAGCACCTACACACTGTCTCTCACAGAAAACAATGCACATTGACGCTAGATCTGAAATCTCAATGTAAAATCATTTCTTAAACTGGTTAAATTGAGGCTTTCCCACTCCAGTGTGTCCAGTGCTAAAGCACTGTTCCAGCCCAGCCACCGGCTCACACGCTCTTTTTGCTGGCCTCCACAGCCCAGGGGATACCGTGTTGTCGGTTAGGAGCCCCCGGTCTATGGTTTTGGCTCTGGCTATGGGTGTTCTGAGTTATCACTACCTCTGCTTTCTAGCAGGCTGGGATCTCTCATGACTCTGGCATAAGGAGGAAGCTGCCCGGGTGAGGAAGAGGGGGGACCCAGGACCAAGAACTCTGTTGGGGAGGGGCACTAGTTCCCGGTATGCACCTGGACAGACGAGCCCTGGCACATGGCCTGGTGCTTCTGCACAGGAGCTTCTGCACTCCTCAGAAGGCAAGTGACTCCAGACCAACCATCCTCCCTGGTCTCTGGGCAGGCCGGTGCCCACAGCGGGAGGGTATCTACACCCAAGAGACAGCAGGGAGTCCAGAAGGGCTCTAGGCTTATTCTCAGAGGACAGACCTCATTCCCCACCACAGAGACCCTTGGGCTTCCTGTCTTACACATTCCCGCTGATTACCCTTGATCTAGCAGCAGGCAGCTACAGTGCAGGAGTCCAGGTGGGGACTCTGCCACTCACCTGCTGTGTTACTCTGGGCAGTTATGCAGCCTCTCTGGGCTTCACTTTCTCACCTCCCTGTAGCGGTGCTGCCTCCAGCTTGTTATGGAGGCTGCTGTACTTGCATTGGCTCCCAGTGTGTACAGGGACTCCAAGGCAGGACCCTTATCACTCTCATCCATACTCTGAGTTAACAACAGCACATGACCCTTAGTCCTCACAGGGTAAAAGGGTGGTCAGGATTTAATTTTACAGGTTTCCAGGGGCCGAAAGGTGCTGAGAGCTGGTGCAGTTACACTCAGGTTCCACACGACACTACCAGTGGCTGTCCTCAGCTAGAGACACCAGGAGATGGTTGCACTGCCCTCACCCGGGCGGGCCATGCTGCATGCATGGAGCCGAGGTCCCACTGCACATCTGGGAGCTGGACTGGAATGTTCGAGAATTGACCCGAGTGTGCCCTCAGCACATCTAATGAAGGCATGTGGGGGTTATGTCACTCCTGAGCTATGGCCTGCCTGTGTCTGCCATCTGCGCCTTGTTGTCCCACAGACAGAGCCCCTCTTTGGGGCCCCCTGGTCACCTGTATCTGTGGGAGAGGAGCTGGTTTCCTAGATCTTAAGGTTCTCCCAGTTGAACTGGCTCCTCTTAACTGCAGGAGGACTCTCGTGCACATAAAGGCAGAGGTTCCTAGGTGCTGGCCACCTGGGGCCAGTCTGACTCTCCCAGTCCCTGTCGGCTTCCCCCACTGAGTTCCTGGCCCCAGGTCCGACTCTCCGTCACTTAGGCAGCGCCCTCCTTGAGCCGGTCACCAGGAGTTCCAGGCTCCTAGAGCTCAGAACGCCCTTACAGTACAATGGGCTACAGTCTCAGCACGCGGGCCGGGCGGGGAGCAGAGCCCAGGTTCACCTCAGTACTATTGAATACCGGGCCCTTCGGATCCCCAGAGTCAGCAAACATTACAACACACCAGGAAAAGCCAGACCCTGGACCAGCATCTCACATCCTTCATTACATACACCCCCTGAGTACGTTATGAAGTTTGAGAGGGACTGAGGGAGGGTTTCATGTGGAATCTGCCAACTGAAACAGTATGCAGACGCCATGTTGGGTGTCATCAGTGCAGGGACAGGGGAGGTGACAGGCATCAGTGCAGGGACAGAGACTGAGTCATTCTCTATCACAGTCTCAACAGCCAACAGGCCTTGGTGGCTCACTAGGGCACTGATGGTAGGACCCAAGGAGGGTACGGGCCAAAGTGTAGGGAACTGTAGCCGTCAGCACTGGGCCTCGAGGCTGCTCTGATGTGTCTCTGATGTTTAATATTGGCAGTGACCTCAGCACCAGGATCTGCCCTCAGCCAAAATGAATGCTGCCTGGTGATGGATGTGTGGGAGGGTGGCCAGGAGAGCATGGCCAAGGCTTTGCGGGAGCCTATGAGGAAGGACCGCCCCATTGCTCTTCTCTCTAGGGACTGTGGCTCGCACTCAGTATCCTGTGCTCAGAGACGAGAATCCAAGCAGGCCAGAGCCAAATTCTGCCTCACCACCATCCCAAGATGACAAAGGCCTCCCTCCCCCAGAGGTCCTGGCTATGCAGAATCAGTCCCAGAGCCAAGGACTCTTTTCACTTGCCAGCTAGAGGAAACCACAGAGGCAGGCAGGCAGGGTCTATCTCGTATGGAAACAAGGCCCCTTGCTCAGAGGGGCTGGTGGGCTTTCCTACCCAGTGACTAAGAGAACCCCCGTGTCCCTGTTGGGTCTGGAGCGGACAGAATGAGACAGACGGCTCCCTGTGCACAGCCCTCACCATGCCACAGCTGCCACTTCCTGCAGCCTGACCCCTCCATGGGCTAAGTAAATAAACCCATACGGTGCTGGCTGTGCCATTTTTCATGGAGCTAGGGAGGTGGGGAGAAGGCAAAAGCTTTTCCATGGGAGACCTAAGGCTGCCAGTGGGAAGAAAGGAGCTGGTGACCACAGGGCCATGGGCAGCTCTCGGCTGCTAGAGTACCTACCCACAGCCCCAAGCAGGTTCCCATGCCATGCCAAAGGCAGAAGGTGAGACAAAGGGGACTGAGAATGGAAGGCACCTGCCTAGTGGGAAGGATAGAGAGGTGACCCAGCAGGAGTCTGGGTCAATGGACCTGGTTGGGAAGTCTCACATGAACTATTGCTAGGCTTCCTCACCATGAAATAAGAACTCTGGAGGATACTTGCAGTACTCCCGGTGGGGCCTAGCATATGTGTCCCTCACATGTGTTCATAGGCATGAGCATCTGTAGAGTCATCCTGAGGCCACATGTGCTCCTGGGGCTGGAGGGTGTTCGAGGAGGCAACCACTGCTAGCTCAAGGCAGCCTGGGAGGAAGGCCTTGAGGGCAGCTTGTCTACTCAGAGGTGATGCCCCACAGCCATAGGTTAAGGGTACATTGCCTTCTGGATGCTCAGAGCTCCGCCTGGCACTGAGTGCCAAGCCCTTCCCCCTGCCTGGCAGCTCCAGGCCTCAATCTGCTTGTTTTCTTCCCTCCTCCGCAGACCTGCCAAGTGCCATCTTCTGGGCCTGCTTCCACCAGAGGGGAGCTTGTGGCTTTCGGAGCCTCATGTTGCAAACCAAGTGTTTTCCACTCTGTGTTTTCTGTGCTTCAAGAACACACATTTAGAGCACAGCACAGAGGCACAGAGGCTGAGTGGCTGAGATCTACCCTCAGCTTGTCCTTTTTGTAATTAGTGAGTGTCTGGTCAAAGGAGGTTTCCAGTGGTGACAAAACACCTTTCTGCTAGCCTGAGGGACACAAACCTTAATTAGGAAGCCACACAGTGCACTCTCTCCCATGATCCACTGGGA